TTCAGGCTTCCTCTCCCACTAAGGGACAGGGAGCACCCCCTTGAGCCTTGCCTCCTTCCCAAACTATACCTTCCCTTGAAGGACTGTTTAGGGCCAAGACCTCACAGCCCAGCCTCAGGTTGGGGGAGCCAAAAATGGGTGCAGGAAAGGTAGAAGGTGGGCATCTCAAGGTCACCCTGCACCTCCCTCCAGCTCCAGACACACAATGTCTAATCCTGGCCAGCTCTAAGGTAACAGTCCTGCCTTTCCCAGGGCCACCCTCCTACCACCAACACAGGTCAATGGGGCTCTCCCTCTCCTTCTACATGATACAGCCCTTTCCACTGTCCTGAATGGAGAGGCACTGAAAACAAAGTATCCTTTCCTACTAGCAATAAAAACAAAGCATAAGCCAAGAGTGTAATGCCACAATTAAGTTTCTAACAAACTTTCTTTGAGAAAGAGAGTGTTAATACTTTTAATTTCACAGCTTGTAGGAAATATTTCTATTGAGAATAGCACTGGCTATGAATTATATAAATCACATTAATTCTATTTGATTTTAATATTTAGCTTGCTATTTAGAAGGCTGTTTTCTCACTTTGTGGGTCATTGTACTACTTTGAAACCTGAGTGATCTCTGGAGACCTGCTCTAACCCCTTTCTTTTATAGCTAAGGAAATCCAGAGAAGGGAGGTGATTTACTCAAGGTCACACCGCAATTTAGTGCCAGGGGTAAGCCTAGAACTAAGAGCACCAAGGGCCAGGGCTGCTTCAACTCCCTCACACAATCTGTCATTTTGCTGGTGGACCACCATGCCTCTTGTGGTGAGACTGCAACCTCCCCAAAGATAGCTCCAAGAGTATCAGAGCTCAGCCTGCGTCGCCTTCAGTACACTGGGGTCCCAAGGAGGTAGGAATTGGATAAACTGCCCTAGTGTGTGGGCCTCTGGACCAGACCTGGTCTTGGCTGCTACAGCTGCTGGAGGTGGTAAGGGGCTGAGGAGGAGGGGTGTCAGGGGGAGGAGAGCAGAGGGCACAGTTGGTAGATGAGGTATCTCCTACCAGTTGTCCCCCAGCTGTCTCTGGCTTCAGCCCTGACACAGCTACTGAAACACTGGGGGTGGGACTGGGAGTGGGGACAATGGGCACATCCCAAACAAGACTAGGTCTGACTCCTGAAGGACAGGGGAAGTGCCAATCAAAGGCATCAATTGTAGAAAGGCGATCAGGGGCCCTAGTGGGGATTACTGTCTCTTGTTTTTCTTGGGCTCCTTAAGTACTGCTCAGCCCCAAGGTTTAGCTGTGCCTTCTTCTTTTCCTTTGAATCAGATGTGGACCAGAATGGGGGAGGGGCAGAAATAACATCAGGAGCCTCCTTCAAGTGAAGACTGGGACCCAGGTATCCTCAAAGGCCTCCATGCAAAGGGCATATCCTTCTTTAGATCCAGGTAGTCCCAAGACAGCAATCACCAGCCTCCTGATCCATGGCCTGGCAGGGTTCTGGGTCTTTCGGGCTGGGGCAAAGGATGTTATTAAGTGTTAACAGGCCCTGGCAGAATAGCAAAGTATTGAGGTATCACTGGTCCCAGAGCAAAATCTCCAGACTCCACCCCATTCCACCCTCCTGACTCTCCAACCTGTTCCCTAAACTAGAGGAGTAAGGTGTAATGGTATAATCACTCAACTAGAAGTCAGAGCTGGACCTTGCTGTGTGACATGGAACCTCTCTGGCCTTTGCTGTTCTTATCCTGATGAGGGTTTGGATGAAACCCAGGCCTGCACCTCCCTGCCTGGTCCCCACCTGAGGCTGCATTAGGTGGGCAATCCAGGAAGTTGTCGAGTGCACAGGCTTCGTCCGGAGGGAAGAGGCGCTTCTGCTTTGTGGGTCTGGGATCTCCCCACTTCTGACTCAGCCTTCCTCTTCCAGTTCCGCTTGGGAAGGCACAGACCCTGACACTGTCCTGCAGCCCAAGCTGACTCTGGCCTCAACTCTAGAACCACTTGTGTACCCTGCCTGTCTGGAGCCCTGGTTCCAGACCACCACCAGAGGTCCTAAGGAAAAAGGCAAGAAAGGATCCCAGGATGTTGTAGGGAGTAGGGAGCAGAAGGTTGGAATGGAAATGCAGACAGTCGGGTCCCCATCCCTTCCTTTAAGACATCTGCTGTCTCCACCGTGTCTCCTGCTGTCTCTTGTAAAGCCACCAGGGTGGGAGGGAGGGGGGGCAGCCTATGAGTCATCTACCCAGCTGTCCTGCATGGGGTGGGGCCCAGCTCCAAGCCTGGACCCCAGGCAGGCCTTTCCTGGTGCTTTCAATTCTCCCTGCACTTAGGCTCCAGAACAGAAAGAATGTGTGTGCGAGTCCAGCCGGGTGTGGCTCAGCAGTTGAGCGTTGACCTAGGATCCAGGCGATCGGGGTTCGATTCCTGGTCAGGGCACCTGCCCGGGTTGCGGGCTAGGCAGCCGATCAATTACTCTCTCATCATTGATGTTTCTATCTCTCTCTCCCCCTCTCCTTTCCTCTCTCTGAAATCAATAAAGATATATATATATATATATAAAAGAATGTGTATTCTAGTTGGAGGGGAAAGAGGGAGGCAGTGTTTCTGCTTGGAGCCTATAACCCAACTCAACAAGAGAGCCCCAAACCCCTGGGTGTGGTCCACAGGATCTTATGGGCAGCTCTGCATCCCAACCCAAAGCCTGGCCCTGAACTCTGAGCTCTAATTAAACATTAAACTAGACAGCACCTTCTCTTTAGGTTTTAGTGGGAGGAGTTAGGACAACGTTTTTCCTCCTCTCCCAAATTCATTCTACTCTTCTCCGCCTCACCCCGAGTACAGCACACGCAAAAGGGAGCACCAAATCCTAGCTCCTCCCACTGGGGACATAGAAAGGGATTGTCACCCCAGTCTGAACCCTCTTTGTCTCCACCCTGCTGTCCATCAGCCTGGGATCCAGATGTGCAAACCCACCTCCCTCTTCCGGAAGCCCAACCAGGATCAGTGGGGGAGAAGACAGTCAGGTGGCTAAATATAACAAGTACACACACCACCCCCACCCTTGCCCCACGTGTGCACACCCCCCTCTGGTGTCCCAGACCTGGACAGCTGCATCAGGAGGCAGAGGAAACAGACTGGTGTGGCTGGGTTAGCATGAGACCATAAGCCCCACTTGTCCCATTTCTTGATCAGTGTCTACCCCAGAAAAAGATTTGCTAAGAATGCCCTTCACAGGGGTCTGCAACAGGGGCTTTGGTGGTTGAGGGGACGAGTTTAGAACACTAACATTCCTGGGACTCCTCTAGCTTGCCTCTTGTCTGTCCTGCTAACTAAACTGTTCAAATCTCTAGTGAAAAAGACAGGAGTGATCCCTTCAACAGAAGTCAGCCTATCTTCCCACACAACTTACATGTACTCTTCACAAGGGGATGGATCTGTCATACTCACCATGCCTGGGGCTGGGGCTAGTGAAGGGGTGGAAAGAATGCAGAATGGGCAGAAATTCTAAGAGCAAAAGTTTGGAAAAGATGCAAAGGGAGAGAAAGAGGGGAACTCAAACCATAGTCCCCCCTACCCCCCATGCCCAGGGATCTTCAAGCACCTTTAGAGCTCTTTTATTTTTTTAAAAAGATTTTTTAGAGAGAGAGGGAGGGAGAGGGAGAGAGAAACATCTATGTGAGAGGGAAACATCAATCAGCTGCCTCCTGCACACAGCCTACTAGGGATCGAGCCCACAACTCCGGCATGTGCCCTGATGGGGAATCTAACCTGCAACCTTTCAGTGCGCAGGACAATGCCCAACTAACTGAACCACACCGGCCAGGGCTCGTTAAAGCTCTTTAGCTTGGGTCTTTGTAGAGAAAGGGGCAATAGAGGAGGAAACCAAATTCTTGAGGGCTAAAAGAAGGCCCAAACTTCCAGGCTCCAAAGGCCTTTTTTGAAAAGAGGGTGGAGTCAAGTAGGGTGGGGTAGGGTAGGGCAGGGATGGGTAAGGTAGGAGTGGCCTAAAGCTTCCAACGGCTGGATTTCAAAAATGTCACTGTATTCCAGCAATTTATTACAGCAAAGATCAAAAAAGGCAGTGGCTGAAAGGCCTGGCCAGAGCAAAGACCGCTCGGCTTGGCTGGGAAAATGAAAGTGGCTCACTCCGAGGAGGGAAGCAGAGAGGGACACAGCCTTAAACCCTCCAAGACAGCAAGCAGAGAGGGTCCTGGAAGGTTGAGGGAGCCACCAGACCTAGGCATAACACAACTTCCTGAGGTGGAGCCTCTGCCCTCTGTCTCCCTCCCTCCCTTGCATTCCTGGGCCAAGCAGGCCAAGGGCTGTGGGAGCTGCGGGGGAGCCGCTCTCCTAGAGCTGTTTGGTGGGCCTGCCAGGGACCAGGGAAGGTCCCAGATATTCATGGAGTGGATAGCTTCCCAGTTCTTAGAAAGAACCCCAGAAAGGGTCACACCAAGAGAGTCACCCTACGTGCCCCTGCAGGCAGAAAAGGGGTCCCTCTGCCTTGGTGACCTCTCCCCAGCACCACCGGACATCTGCCAGCTTGGGAGCTCTGTCTTAATAGACATCATGTGTTCAGTGTCAGTCTGGGCAAAATTGGCACTGTGCCAAGTCCCCGAAGAAAGTTATTACAGGACCCTTTCACCCACCCCAATGTGTCCTGGGGTGCCCAAATTTCTTAGAACAGGCAGGGTTAGTTCTGCTTTGCTCAAGCCCCTACCCCAGGCTCCAAATGGCTGGCATACCTTACCGCGACCTAATGTGGGCCAGCCACCAGTCCCTACTTGGCCCTGACGCCCCTACCATTCCTTACATACCCCACCCTCTCCCAGAGACCTCTCCCTTATCTGTCCTGTCCAGATGATTTCCCTTGGTACTGCCAGTCACCCGCTGGGGGCAGTTCCGGGGAGGGAGGAGACTATATGGCAAAGTTAGTTATCAGGCGCCTGGGGCCGGGCAGGGGTGACCAGTCGGCCGCACGCCGCCACCTGGGCACGTCGCCACCTGGGCGCACTCACCGCGCTTTGAGCTCCTTAAACTCTTCTCGCACTTTGCTCAGCTCCAGCTGCAGGCGGGCACGCTCCTTGGCCACCGAGTCGAGGGTTTTGCGGGCATCGCCGAGCTCGGCCTCATAGGCGGCCTTGATGCCGGACACCTCGCGGCTGACCACCTCCTCAGACTCGGTGATGCGAAGGCGCAGACCTGCGTTCTCCGTCTCCAGCGAGCGCACCCGGTCGATGTAGACTGCCAAGCGGTCATTGAGCTCCTGCAGGTCCTCCTTCTCCTGCAGCCGGGTGATTCGGGTGGGCGACAGCGGAGTGGAGCTGGTCTGCGCCCCACTGCGGGTGGCGCGCCGCTGGGACGGGGTCTCCATGGCCGGCAGGGTGGCAGCGCTGCCCGCAGGGCAGGGGTCCCGGGAAGGGCACGGAGCTCGGGCCGAAGGATAGAGACGGCGCGGGGTTGGAGCGCGCCGGCCCGCAGGCTCTCGGCTCGCTCCTGGCAGGCGTGGGGACCGCGGCCGGGCGCTGTCGGACCTGGGATCCGGGTTGGCTGGACAGGCTGCGGCGCTCCCGCGAACACTGAGTCACCGGCGTCCGGGGAAAGGCTCTAATAGGTCCTGGGAATGGGAGGAGGGGCCACTGCTCTTAAAGGGGCCGTCACAAACCTAGAGGGGCGGGGGGGTGAACGGGAGAGAGGACCGCCCAGCCTCGGCGGAGTCGGGCCCCACCCTCTCCCTCGCACCCCACTCTGCCCGGAGCTTCGCTGTAGCTCCCATCTTGGTTCCTAGCTGCTCAGCCTTCCTACTCTCTCAGGCCTTAGGGGTAGAGGGCAGAGCCAAGGGGGGAGAGTGGGTGGGTGAAGGGCAGGGGGGAGAGGGAAAGTGGGTGTCAAGCAAAGGAGGGCTCCAGGCAGGCAGATCCAGGAAGGGGGGGAGGGGGACAGAGGCTGGTGCCCACCAGGGTGACTCATTCTTCTTCCACCACCGCTCCCCATAGTAATAGTGAGTCACCCCTACC